AATCGCGGTGGGGCAACTCATTATTAAGTAACTTTGTTAATTGTTACCCTTTCTTTTTCAAATTGTAATCATTTTCTTGTCGCACTACATTATAGCTTCTGTGAAAATTTCAACAAAATCCCTTGACGAATAATAGGTGCTGCACTTTTTATTCAAATCAGTATAATATAAAATAATAAAAAATAAAATAAGTGTTACAACCGACAGAATATTACTGTGATTTATGTAAAAAAATATGAAACAAAAAAATGTAGTGCTTACTTACAAATTTTAGATTTTTTTTATTTATTTCACCCCAATTACATCCTTTAACGAGCGATTAAGTTGTTTAATTCTAAAATATATTCTTAATCGGAATTTTTTTTTTTACATTCTTGCTACATTTGATGATCGTAGATTTTTGTAACAACTGTTTCATATAATTATTGGTAATTTTGAGTTTATCTTGCTTTCGTAGAAATTTCTTTGCCTTTAGGCAGAAACAATGAAGGAATCCCAGTTGACTTAAATTTTCTTGCATTTTTGGGAAAATAATTTTATAGTTCGTGTTTAAGGTTTCTTTCATAATCGTCGACCACAAAATTTTTGCAACAAATTCGTGCCTAGTTTGTATTTATTTTTTAGCGCGACAACAAGCAATAACCCACAATTTTTGTATTTCGGCATTTTTGGGAAACCGATAAAAGTGAATACCTTGTTCAAATGTTGTGTAACGATTATTGTTGTTGCCTCCAAACCTTGTACAACGCATTGTAGATGAAATTCTCTAAGAAAAAAAGCGGAAAAACAGTAACAGAGCGCGCAAACACGCTCGATCCACGTCTGATGGTGATCGAAGTGGTCACCACTCGCCGTCATTGCGTGGCCTTGGACCTGCGCAATATCATTCCTTTAAGATATTTATTCCATGGCCTATATCGTACAATTACAATATTAAGGGACTCGCTCTAACTAATTGCAGTGAAATACTGGACTTGGGTATTTTAATTGACAGCGCCCTAACTTTCATTCCGCACATCGAACGTGTCACATCTTTAGCATTAAGATCTCTTGGATTTATTGTCAGAAACACTAAACTCTTCACAAATGTAGAATGTATCAAAAGGTTATTTTATACTCTTGTTCGTTCAAGGTGGGAATATGGTTGCGTAATTTGGTCCCCATATCATCAATGCCACATTTATACGTTGGAAAGAGTTCTCAGGAAGTTTATTAAATATTTGTACTTTAAAATGTTTGGGGTTTACCCGGTAACACACTGTGACCAACAAGATCTTTTACAGCAGACTAATGAGCACTCTCTTGAAAGCAGAAGAAATTTAGCTTCTCTAATCTTCATCCAAAGACTGTGACATGGCAGTCTCGGGAGTACCAAACTTATTGTCGCAAATTAATATTGTAATACCGCGTGTGGCAGGTCGGTATCCACACACATTTCAATTTATTATTCCCAATACATACCATCACTTCAACTCAGTCTTCGAAACGCGTTATTGCACGGTTGTATCAGAAATCAAAACATTTATCAAAAAAAAACGATAAGAAAGGAGCAATCGCAGGTACGTCAATCCCAATCAAATTTGGATAACACGTCAGATGAACTGAACCTTAAATTACCAGTGTATAATTTGCCTGTGTTCACAGGTTCATATAAAGACTGGCTTTCCTTTTCAGACCAATTTAGGTCAGTCATTCACGATAACACTAAATTGGACAATTGCAAAAAATTTTACTATCTTAAGTCTTGTTTAAAAAATGAAGCGCTTAAGGCCGTTGAATCCTTGTTGATTTCGAACGACAATTATTCGATCGCTTGGGACCTATTGACTAAACGTTAGGCAAGCAAAAGATTTATAGCGCAAGAACATGTTTACGCGATTTTGAACTTTCCTGTTATCACGAAAGCTTCTCACAATCACTTACGCGAATTAATTGACAATGTAACGTCTAACTTAGAAGCGCTAAAGGTATTGCAAGTACCAGTACATAACTGGGATGCGATTATCGTTCCCATTATAACGGAAAAATTGGATCTCTATTCCAGACGGGATTGGCAGGGTCCATTAAACACATCAATTCCCAAATATCAAGATCTGCTACTATTCTTAGAGAAGCGCTTTCAAACATTGGAATCGTTGTTTTATTCAAACAAGCAAGTACTTGCGTACAAATTTTCGAATCAAAATTCCACGACAAATAGTAAGTCAATAATTATGCGACCACGACTAATTTTAATAATGGCAATAAGTTAAAGTCGTGTAACCATTGCAGACAAGCGGGTCATTATATCAATCAATGTACAGAATTTACAAATTTGAATATCAATGAAAGACTAAAGGTGGTAGATAGGCTACGCTTGTGTAAAAATTGTTTGAGAGACAATCATGCGACGGTTGATTGTAAATCGAAGTCGAGATGCAAAAATTGCAACCTAAATCATAACACCTTGATACACGGTGCGAACGATCAGCAAACTTCGAGGCTACAACAATCTGAATCGGTGTCCCTCAATTCGTATTCTGACATAAACACTTTGAAATCGGGTATTCTCTCTACCGCGATAATACTAATTATGGATAAAAAGGGTCAATACCAGGAATGCCGCGCCTTTCTTGATTCCGGGTCCATGAATCACTTCATAACATCCGATATGTGTAAAAGGCTTGGTCTTCCACGTCATAAAATAGAAATACAAATTGGAGGTATTAACCAGTCCACAAGTAGTGTAAATTACTCGACGCAAGTTTCAATAAAGTCAAAATATAATCAATATTCGCAGAACATTAGATGCTTGATATTAGACAGAATAACAGAAAATCTGCCGGTTAGTTCCGTAGATCTAGCAAATATAACTGTTCCGAAAAATATTAAATTAGCAGATCCACAATTTTATCGCTCTACACCGATCGATCTACTGATTGGCGCCGAATTATTCGTACCATTAATGTGTATCGAGCAGATTCATTTAGCGCCGGGGCAACCTCATTTTCAAAAAACACATCTGGGGTGGATCCTTGGCGGTACTATAAATTTGACCAACAATAAAACGAAAACTTTGTGTCATCTCTCGCACCTCGGTACCGAATTACAAGAGCAGGTAACAACCAAATTCTTAAATATTGAAGATGTTAGGGTTATTGCTGACAAACTTTCACCGGAAGAAAGACAATGTGAAACGCATGTTAGGGACACCGTAAAACGTGATTCACAGGGTCGGTTTATAGTAGGACTTCCTTTTAAGAATAGCCCACCCGATTTGGGTGATTCACAACAAGGGGCTGTAAAACGTTTCCGTTCTCTCGAAAATAAATTTGCAAAACAGCCGGAATTTAAAGAACAATATTCGGATTTTATTAAGGAATATGTATATCAAAATGGACCATATGGAACTTGTAAACAACCCTAATTTAAAAGACAGAATGTTTTGTTACCTGCCACACCACGCAGTTCTTAAATTGTCGAGGAGTACCACTAAGCTTAGGGCGGTTTTTGACGTGTCATTCTGTACGAATAACGGGAAGAGGTTGAATGACAATTTGATGTGCGATCCGGTGATACAGGACGATTTGTTCGCTATTCCAACCAGGTTTCGTATTCATCGTTATGTAATAACTGCCGACATAGCGAAAATGTATCGACAAATTTTGGTAAACCCGGCTGATCTAGTAAGTCGCGGTCTTCAACCTAGTGAACTTATTAACAATGAATTTTGGTTTAAAGGTCCGACGTGGCTCATGTCAGATTTCGAGCGAACTCTATCGGAATATCCCGATTTCAGCGATATTAACGAAATGCTGGAAAAACGCAAAAATATTATAGCCGCGGCAGAAACAATCATAACACCTTTACCCGTGATGACAAAAATATCTTCGTTGCGGAAACTTAATCGTGTAATAGCGTATTGCCTACGTTGGGTTGATAATTATAGAAAATCAAAGCGACAAGCGCTAATTCTAACCGGTCCGTTGAAAATCTCCGAATTACAAAAGGCAAATTTCACAATCATTCGGTGGGTACAAAACCAGACATTTGCGACCGAGTTAAATAGTCTCAAAAAAGGAAAACCAATAAACAGTAAAAGTTCCATCTTAACTTTGAATCCATTTTTATCAAAGGACAATTTACTCAGGGTCGGCGGACGTTTAAGGAACGCTGAATTTAATTTTTCCACAAAGCATCCAATCTTAATGCCCAGTAATAATCATACCGTGACCAAACTAACTAATCATAGAACAATACCACACCGAAAATTTACACGCTGGGGCCGAAGGTACTCTGGCCGCAATAAGGCAAAAATTTTGGATTATCCCATCGCGCAGTGTTATCAGGCAAGTGATACACAGATGTGTCGCTTGTTTTCGAAATAAACCCCGGAAAACTATTCAAATGATGGGGGATTTACCTGCTCAGAGGCTTGCACCAAATCGTTCTTTCTTTATTTCCGGCGTTGATTACATAGGTCCGATTTTAATTAAGGAGTCAACCGGTCGAGGAAAAAGAAGTGTAAAGGCATACCTACATCGCAATTTTTGTCTGTTTTGCGACTAAGGCCGTGCAGTTGGAGCTAGTCGGTAGTCTTACAAATGTGTCCTTTTTAGGGGCTGTGCAGAGATTAGTGTCAAGAAGAGGTCAAATTCGTCACCTATATTCGGACAATGGTTCTAATTTTGTTGGTGCGGCAAATCACGAAGCGCAAAAGCTTAAGGTATTTTTAAAATCTTCAGATTTTCAGTCAAAGGTAATAGGAAAACTAGCAGAGAGGAATATGGATTTTCATTTTATTCCAGCACGATCACCGCATATGGGTGGGTTATGGGAGATTAACGTCAAATCGGTCAAAACTCTGATGAAAAGAACAATTGGGCTTGCACTTTTGACTTATGAAGAGTTGTATACGCTTTTGACGCGAATTGAAGCGATTTTGAACTCGCGCCCTCTCACCCCCCTCAGTAATGATCCTAATGATCTCGAACTTTTAACTCCCGGACATTTCCTTGCAGGAGAATCTCTGACTGCGGTATTCAAAGACGACATCACCGAAGTCAGCACAAATCGACTATCCAGATGGCAACGTGTAGAACAACTACGCCAAAATTTTTGGCGGAGATGGAACCGCGAGTACATTCTTGGACTGCAGGGGAGATCGAAGTGGACACGACCGTGTAACACAACAACAGTTGGCTCGCTAGTGCTAATCGTCGAAGACGACGTCCATCCATTGCAGTGGAACTTAGCGCGCATTACCGAATTGCATTACGGTAAAGACGGTTTACCGCGAGTGGCTTCGCTAAAGACTAAAAGTGGTGTGAAAAAACGTTCATTTCATAAACTATGTCGCTTGCCGATCAGTACAGAGGACACTAAAATCGTACTGACGAATTACGAGTAATTTCAATTAGTAGGTTTATCATTGTATTTAATCCGCATTAGTGTTTGTGTAATCTTCCCGTAGGCTTCCATATTTTTGTATTCAGTCTATATTATGGCGATTCTTGGTTGAACCCTAGAAGGTTTCAAGGTCGGCGGTATGTTCAGGCCAACAATATCGGTCCTCTTGAAGCGACCTTGTGCGCACCGAATCGGGTTTATGGCCCTTGCAGCCCCTTCGGGTTTACCCATCCTTTTGTATATTTATTCATTCGAAAGCGAGACTTAAAACTTGTAACATCTAGGCGAAACTTATCAATATATTTGTTGTTGTGTTAAAACGAAGTTTTTATTAATAACGAGACTCTGAACGGGTCTCCAAACACCACAAGGTACTCATTGTGGTCCTGTTTTGTTTTGTTTTCCAATTTTATAAATGTTCTGACTTATATGATCAAATTCTCTAATTTCTCGTATGCGGACGACCTCAAGCTGTTTAAAATTATTAATTTCATTCAAGATGCAACGGATCGGTATTGACACAATACGGGATTGGTGCTTAAGTAATCTACTAAGAAATGTAAAATAATATCCTTTTTTAATATAAAATCAACTATTCTGTTTGACTATACCTTAATGAACCATCCGTTGTTGCGTGTCACTGAAGTCAATGATTTAGGTGTAATATTTGATGTTGCTTTGAATATATTGGGTTTTATATATCGTCATTGTAGAGATCTTACTATGAGTGCATTGAAAATTTTATATTGCTCGTTAATTCGATCTAGACTTGAATACTGTTCAGCTATTTGGTACCCTATTTATAATGTGGACCTTGAAATGATAGAACGAAGAATGATGGAAACTGTCAATGAGTTTCTATCTCAATTTTTGGATCAAGTGTTCATTTATTTTATAAACAAATTGTTGCATTACCACAAATGTATTTTCTTTACTTTGTAAATGGAGAATTCCATAATAAATTTATTATTATTATCATTTTTAGATGAATTGCGAACCCACGAAGAAGAGGAGGACCGTGTTGTCCGTCCCCGTGGAGGTGGAAGACGAGGTGCCCGATACGCCGTGTTGTAGTCGTCGTTGTCCTCGTCAAGGAGGATCCCTCCAAGCCCCGCTTACCGGTGTGGACGTCCCTATGACTCCTGCGGAGTGGTGCGAGGCCGAGCCCGAAGAAACGGCTACGGGGACGAAGGCTTTGGACGAGGTGGAGGAGACGGAAAACAGCGGCTCGTGCGAAGAGGACGAACGAAAAGTATCGCCTCGTCGACGAAGTAATGGTGCCGTTGACCAAGTCCTCCAGCAAACTGGAGGTTGTGCCGGTCGTGAAAATATACAACCCTGAATTGAGCGCTGCGGCGACCTTCACCTTGCAAGAATTCGGGAAACTTGTGAAGTCGATGCGGGAGTGTTGGTTGTGATCGAGCTCGTACCTAAAGACGTGCTCTTGCTTAAATTGGAGTGTTATGATCAAATTCAGCAGCAAGATGAATGACGACCGTGGCTACGCTGGCACTACGCTGTTGGACGTGTCCCACTACGTGGTCAACTTGCTGAATGCGAGAACCATCAAGCAGAACATATACCCAAAACTGGAAGGGTTCGTGTGCGGGGTAGCTACGTACATGTTTGAACACGCCGACCTGAATTTATCGCTCGAGAAGGCTGTATTGAAAATAATAAAAGAAGAGTACCAAGACGAGCGGATGCTATTACGAGATAGCGTTGAAGCTACTCGTGACGCTACAGCATCACGTGGAGGAACAGTTGGGGTATTTTACAGATTAGAACAAGTGGTAACGTGATTGTAGTAGTCGTAGACTGTAGACGAATAAATAAAAAATATTGATGATGAAAAGTTGTTGTTATTGTCTTTCGAGAGGTATATTATGTTGTGTATCAGAGTGCAAAAAGTTATAATGCGACGTGCGTCATCAGGGCGAACGTTCACGTGTGTCGTAACCGGTCCCACGGGATCGGGAAAGACCTGTTTCCTGCGACGATTTCTAAAATACTCTCATCTGATGTGCAATACCGAATTTATCAAATCTATTATTCAGGAAATGCGTTTGACCTTAACAGTTGAAGAGCTTAAATCGAAGATAAAAAATATACGAACCACATATAATAGAGAGGCCAATAAGGTAGCGAAGTTAAAGAAGAGTGGTCCGGGCACGCATGATGTATTCAAACCTCAATTAATTTTGTTTTCAGTAGCTGACCGGTTTTTAAAACCGGTGATAGAAGGAAGAAACAGTAGATAACATGGTAAGTTAATTATTATTTATTAAAAATAAGTATTCTTGTTTGTGTTTTATAATATCATGTAAACAGGGTCATTTTTATAATTAAACGTAACAACATTTACACAATCATTCTATCTTGCCACGGAATTCTTCCAGGTCCAACAAAATAGTCACCAAATCTATCGCGCAGATCTTTCGCATTTCGTGAATAGTTATTAGAAGACAACGGTGTTATTATTTTAACTACTTCTTCCACAGGAATGCTTCTCCAACTTCCCTCTCTGATTGTTCCTGAACTGAAGTCCTGTTCGTCAATTAATTCGGGAGTATTCATGTATATGCGATTAGTCCGAAGCCAATTATGCAACGCACAGGTCGCTTTGGTAATAGAATCAGTTTTATCTAGTGAAACAGATATAGGTTTTCTGTATACTCTGAATCCGGAAGCTATTATGCCAAAGGCATACTCTACGATTCGGCGTGCTCTTGGTAGTCTGTAATTAAAGAGTTTTTGTTTGTATTCCAAACCTTCATGTCTTGAACATCGTTTCATTAGGTTGATTGTCAAAGGGAAAGCGTCATCACCAATGAAATCCGCTTTATTGGGTAATTCCAAATTATTACTTGCAAGAGCACTGTAGAACGTTTTTTTTTCCCAAATATGCGAACCATTCATGCGTCCATTAATTCCGACATCTATATATATATGAAACGGTAATATGCAGCCACTATAGCAAACAATACCACACTATACGTGCCTTTGTAATTATAATAGTCTGAAGCTCCGTGTGGTGGATTTTGTATTAAGACGTGTTTCTCGTCAATAGCGCCACAGCAAAAAGGAAATTGCCAGCGATCTAAAAAATCTTTCATCCATTGATCTCTTGTAGATGGTATCTAAAACAAATAAACTTATATTAGTTTTTGGCTACAGGCAAAAGAAAGCGAAGATTCAGCGGTGAACACAAACAGCGACGCGTGCCCGAAGAAGGCCGAGCGTGCCCGAAGAATGGACCCACCTACAATGGACCCACCTGTTTTACAAACAGTCAATAGATTAGAAACTTTGGCTCAAAATATCCGTCAAGATGAATTTGATACATTCGGACTACATGTATCAAGCCAATTACGTTGTTTGCCATTAGCATTGTCAAACTTTTATTAATAACTATATATTTGTCACAAGAAAGACTGAAAATTTTAAATGCACATCTTCGAATTTCTAGACCTTCGAGCTCACTCTCAGAGTATACACGCTATAGTTTGACTCCTGAACCCGGAGCTTCTCGAAACCAAGCTTCCACTTTTCGAAACCAACGCAATACTTCGACTCCCGAAGCTTCCACTTCTGGAGACCACCTCGATTATGAAGAACACTATTTTGCCAGTTGTTCACTAATAACACAAGAAAATAGTGGACAACAATACGAAGTGAACGCCGATATTGTATCTCAAGCTGTTAGATCATGCTTATTAAAAATACTTTGCAAAATTTATAAATATACCGTTTAGAAATTAATCACGAGTTTCACTTACCATAAAGTGACCGTGAAATCGGCCGGCATTTGCATAACGTCGCTCGTGCTATCGCTGAGACTCAGTTTACAATTAGGATTACCACCCGAGACGAATCCGGCCAACGTGTTATTGGGCTTGCCCTCTCAATTGTACGTTTACACCTCAGGTATCGGAGACACGTTATCGAGTGTTGAAAATACGCAACGCCGAAAATCAGATCGCCGATCTGACCGGTTCGGGACTCATAAAAAGAAGGATGAAAAATAAGATTCAGAAGCTTCCGAAACGCGCTCGCATCGAGCTGTCTCGAAATAATGTCGTTCTTGCACGCGCAGAGTTGTGAATGCGTAAAGTAGGAACTCGACTTGTTCGCTCTGCCCTCCATTCAGACGATGATCCAAAGCGATAAATGGGTTTATTTCAATACGGATGAGGTATATGCCATTTTGAAGAATGCTATTAATAACGAAAGGGATGCGACCATCGTGTTTGGGGAGTATGTCGCTACTAAACATCGAAAGTATAATTGCTACACTAAAAATGTTATCTAACATTTGATTAACAAGATACAGTACGATGCAGATATGAGAAAATATGACGACCCTAGCGCTACATAAGAACAGACTGAACTCTAACCTCAGCGTAATCTAATTTCAGCCGGATGAATATCAACCACGTATTATTTCGGTTGTTCATTCAGAACCCTCATCCCAAGTGGATCATCGAGGCAGCGATATAACAGCCTACTATGGTTCTTTTTCAGATGAATTATATTCATCCAATTATTATTAATTATTTGTTTTAAGCTGCTATTTGTGTTTTAAAAACGATAAAGTTACCTTTTTATTTCACCACGGGTTTCATTGAAGTTCAGGACGAATTTTTGAGAACTATGTTTATATAACTATTACCCGTCACTGTGAGATCCATTCTGGCTTCCAGTAACGACAGTTTGGATAATTTGGCTGATGGCAGATAAAATTGCGCCTGTATGCGGAGCTCGAAAGCTCACCACTTACCCAAGAAGGACTCCACGACTGAACCAAAAAATGGCCATTCAATTGACGCAAGAACAATTCCAGGAGTTCCTTCGCGCTCACCAGCCGCCAGCCGCGAACGGGAGAAATTTTACATACTGCACCGCCCGATTCAATGGAACAAGATCGGCGTCGAAAGTCGAAGAATTCATCACTACTGCCTCCATATATAAAGACGTGGAAGGCGTTTCAGATGAAAATGC